TCTTGTGTTTTAGCCGCAACAGCCTGGAGCTGAACACGCTCAAAACAGTGGAGATGACAGTGGACTTCACGAAAAGCCCTCCCACCTTACCCCCACTTACCATACTTGGCAGCACTGTATCAGCAGTAAAGTCCTACAAGTTCCTGGGTTCCACTATCTCCCAGAACCTGAAGTGGACGTCCAACATCAGGACCATCACCAAGAAGGTACAGCAGAGGATGTACTTCCTGCGCCAGCTCAGGAAGTTCGACCTGCCCCAGGAGCTGCTGATACAGTTCTACAGAGGAATCATTGAGTCTGTTCTCTGCACCTCCATCACTGTCTGGTTTGGCTCAGCAACCAAACAGGACAAATACAGACTTCAGTGGACAGTCAGGACTGCAGAAAAGGTCATTGGTGTGAGCCTGCCCTCCATGGAGGACCTGTACACCTCACGGGCCAAAAGGAGGGCGGAGAGGATCACTGCTGACCCCTCACACCCCGGACTCAATCTGTTTCAACTCCTCCCCTCTGCACAGCGTTACAAGCCACTGTGCACCAAGACAACCAGGCACAGGGACAGTTTCTTCCCCAAGGCTGTCACTCTGATGAACACTTAGCCCACAACAGTATGACTGGACAATAGCCCTCAGTGCAATACCTGTAAATATACATTGTACAGATTATACAGATCCGTACAGGTCTCTATTTTTAAGTAATCTAATTTTATTCCTATTTATCTCATTTCAATTAACATTCCTTTGTCTGCATTGTTTACTGCCTGTTTATACTGCTTATTTTGCATTATTTGCACTGTTTGTTGCTTGTTAATACTGCTTTTTTGTTACATTACATTATTGGTTTATATTGGTTTACTGTTTACTTGCCCCTTGCATGGGGATATGTACATATACATTGAGAGCCGATGTACCAGAGTCAAATTCCTCGTGTGTCCGACACACCTGGCCTTTATTAGCAGATTCTGATACTGTATATACCAGCAGTACACACACCTTTTTGACTCCTGTGGATACAGCAGCTTCCTGCAGAGCAGCTCTGGTGAGCCACTGCATGTTTTCAGGCTGGGTTTGTGTGTGGCCGTCCTTCAAATATACACTGTGAACCACGTAAGTCTGGTGGATGTGGGAGAAGACGTGAGCCACCTGCAACCAGTGATTCATCTGGGTTGTCATTCAGATAAACAAAGAGCTGATTTGTGTGTAAAAGTGTGCACACTACTGTTGTTTACCTCTCCCACATAGTAGAAGCAGCTCTCAGTCAAATGAGTTCCCAGCATCCTGCCTAGTTCAGCACACAGTGCCCCCTTCTGTTTCATCTCAGAGCTCTCACCCTCCAGAAGAAGACTGGGAAACTCCCACAAGCCTGCCAGCAAACCTGTCAATACACACAAACATGGGCTGTCAGACATTAAGATTGATAAAAACAAGCATTTAAAACACAACCAAAGTGTCCATTTATTTTAATGCATTTGTTTTGTTAGCAGATTACAATTTAAACCTAAACTCATGCCCATATATTGAATTTATTCATGTAGCCCACATAAATGTTCTCATGTTTTTCTTTGTGTTGTCTATATTCACCCACCTAAATCCATCTATGATTAAATCCTAAATGGAAATAATTCCCTGCCAACATTAACACTGATGGAAATCTAAGTTCTGCTTCTATACCTGAATGACAGCTCACATATTAAATTCTATCTGATCATCAAAGTCTGATGAATGTATTTAGCAGCTCGCTCTTGATGCCCTGTGTTGACCATTGTAGACAAAACATCCGCATGTGCTGACCTTTGTTTGGTCTCTGTGTGAGCAGATACTCCTCCTCTCCCTTCTCTCCAGGTCTGATCACCACACAGGTCAGAGTTCGCTCCACTCTGGGCGGCTTCTTTGCCGGCTTTCTGGGGAAGTTCTGAACACCCAAGTCATTGTCCCAGGGCTCCGTAGGACACAACAGACATGTCCCACTGTTTGCTGAGGGAGCGGAGAAGCCAAACATTACTGCAGTCAAGTTCCTAAGTATTTTGACAGTGACACAATTTTTGTAATTTTGCCTCTGTACACCACCACAATAAATCTGAAATGAAGCAGTCAGAATGTTAATGAAGTAAAGACGTTCAGCTTTGATACAAGCAGTTTAGCAAACATATTGCATTAATTGTTTGGGAATTACAGACATTTTTTTATACATAATCCTCCATTTTCAGAGGCTCAAAGGTAATTGGACACGTGACTGACAAGCAGTTTCATGGCCAGGTGTGGTATGTACCCTCATTAATTCATGACAAAATTAAGAAGATAAAAGGCCTGGAACTGATTTCAAGTGGTGAATTTGCCTTTGGCAGGTGTCCATTGGAACTCTCAATGTGTGGTCCAAAGAGGTATTGTTTCAAGTGAAGAAATCCATCATAAGGCTTAAAAAAAAATTCAAACCTGTCAAAGAGATATCAGAAACTTTAGGAGTGACCAAATCAAAAATTCTCAAAAAGGAGGAATGCACTGATGAGCTCAGCAACAGCAACAGGCCTGGAAGACAGCTAAGGTGGTTGATTCCTTCCTTGGTGAAGAAAAAAAACCCTTCATAACATCTACTACATAAGTCCAGAACACATTCGAAGAGGAAGGCGTATCAGTGTCAGAGTCTACGGTCAAGAGGCGCCTTCATAAATGTAAATACAGAGGGTTCACCTCAAGGTGCAAACCACTGGTAATGCTCAAGAACAGAAAGACCAGTTTAGACTGCCAGAAAACACCTAAAAAGCCTGCCCAGATCTGGAATAAGATTCTTTAGACTGATGAAACCAAGATCAACTTGTAGCAAAATGAGGGGAAGAGAAAAGTATGGAGCAGGAAAGGAAAGATTCATAATGACCAGTAGACTCAGGAACAGCTTCTTCCCCAAAGCTGTCTCCTTGCTGAACTCTGTCCCCCGTTGACCCCCACCACCTCCCTCTACACAAACCTCACCCCTTCTCATCTCTCCTCCTGGGACTAATGCAATACACTTCTGTTACCTGTAATACTGAAGTGATCTATTAATTTGCACATACTCTACACACAGAATACTGCTCGGTTATTCATTTGCACACTGTACTGTACATATGCCAATACTGTATATTTATTTTGCACTATTTACATCCATTGAAATGTTAACTCCTGTAACTTATTTGTCTTTTTATTCTGCACTATTTCATTCCATTTCATAGTGTTTTATAAGCTTAAAGTACCTTATCCATTATTTGTCATTTAAATCCATACAGTCTGTTGTATATTGTACTATATTACCTTATATAACTTATTGTAAATATCAACTGTTCATATCCATCGGTAAATTAGTTCTCACTGTACATACTACGCACTCTGCACTGCCGCTATTGTATTTCTGGTTAGATGCTAAACTGTATTTCATTGCTTGTACATGTTTAATGACAATAAAGTTGAATCTAATCTAATAATCCAACACATGCAATATCATCTGTCAAATGTGGTGGAGGCAGTGTTATGGCATGGGAAAGTGTGGCTTCAAGTGGAACTGGATGACTGGTGGTTATTGATGACCTGACTGCTGAGAGAAGTAGCATGATGAATTCTGAAGTTACAGATAATGGATGGATGGATGGAAAGACAGACAGACAGAGCCAAATGCTGCAAAACTCACAGAATGGCATGTCACAGTACAGATGGATGACCCAAGCAACTCAAGAGTTGCAATATTCGTCAATGGCTGAGTCTGTCACCTGAACTCAACCCAAGTGGGCATGCAGCAACTGAAGGTAGCTGAGCTAAGGCCTCACAAAGGAGTAACCTCAGCATCTGATGATGTCCATTGGTTCCAGACTTCAGGTAGTCACTGACTGCAAAGGATTTGCATCCAAGTATTAAACACAATAATTCTATATATTTTTATGCTAGTTTGTCCAACTACTTTTGAGCCTCTGAAAATAAGGGGACTATGCATAAAAATCTTTGTAATTCATAAATGTGATATTTTTGTGAAACCCCCTTATTTAAAGCTGAAAGTCTATACTTCTGTAACATCTTGATTACTACATTTCAAACTGATTGTGTTGGTGTACCAAAGAAAAATGACAAAAAAATGTGTCCCTGTCCAAATACTTATGGACCCAACTGTAAATATCTCAACACGGAGGTCTGAAGGAAAGAGAAGAGCACATACTGCAGTCTTCTATGTCAGGCAGGGCTGAAGGTTTTCTGTCCAGCTTCACCAAGAGCTTCCTGGAATTTTGTCCTTGTTTGACATGAACCTGCAAATACACACACACACTGCATAGGTAAGCCTGCTGTGATCCGATACATTAGTAACCCATGTTACTGTAGCTCTGAGTTTACAACATAAGTTAGCAGGCATAACCTTTTCTTATTGGTACCAGATGCGAGACAGGACCTACTTTGTGATAAGAGTGGCAGTGAGACTGTATAGGACACTGGCTACAGAGTGGTGCTTTAGGGGTGCACACTCGTGCTCCCAGCTCCATCATGGCCTGGTTGAAGTCTCCTGGTCTCTCTGGATCCACTAGCATATTCGATAGATCCCTGAAACAGTGCAAAGTAAAGCACAGAAACTGCAATCATGGCGTTTCTATTAGTACTGTAACTCACTCCAGAATGAAGTATGTCAAGAACTAATTACGGAATATACCAATTTATCATAGAACATAAATGCTAATAAAAGTTTTAACAAGAAACAAATGGACACATGGATGATTTTAGTTTCTGTGTTCCTTTCAAAAGGATGGTCTTAAAAAAAAAAAAAAAAATCCTTCACTGGCTGAGCTTCAAACAGGACAAGCACATCAGAACCCTTATTTAATTTTCCCTTGTCTATTTTTTATTCAGGTAGTGGTAATTGTTGTCAAATGTAAAAACTATTTTAAACACCTTCTACAAAGATTGACTTCACTAATGATTTTTTCAATCTTATAGTCACATTAAAAGCTGATATTCCATCTGAAAAAATCTGAATTAATTAAACCAGAAGAAATAGGACATAATTCATTTATTATGGAATAATCTTCAGTTTTTAAAACCCAGGTTTCCCTGATATCTAAATATCTTTAAATAAATAAAATCTCACTTCGTAAAAATTTTACAAACAGCATTTGTTTGGACACATCTGAGACAACCTCAAACAGGCACAGAAATCACCCTGTGCAGAATGAAACAAAGCGCCCGTGCAAGACAGATTTAACTGGCCAATGTTTATTTATGGCAGCCAACCAAAAAGCATCTCCAAGAATCCAAAACATTTAGAAGGATGAGTTCATAATGTAGAAAAACATCTGGGCACTCAACCGACATAACAAATCCTAGGGTACAAAAGCTACTCAGAGATTAAGTGTGGTACTTGTTTATTTTATCTCTCACCAAAGTGCCTCTGTTACTGCAGGACTTGTGCAGTTGGCACCAATGGCTCTCAGCCGACACAGCACCCGAATCACGTTGCCATCCACAGCGCCGGTAACCTAGGCAACAAAGATCATTTCAGTCTTCAGTGATAAACGAAGCACTGTTGTCATCAAATGTGGCCTCAGAAACACGCCCAGCTCTGGTGTATAGGTATGTGTGTATAGCAACCCAACCTCTCCCAATGCAATAGAGCCTATAGCTGCAGCAGTATAGCGTCCCACTCCAGGCAGGTGTTTCAACAGGCTGTCCACTGTCTGAGGCATCTGTCTCTTCAGCTCTGTTACCACCTAAAAGAAAACTGTAATGTAAAATGACACTCAGAACCCCAAAATTTCACATTATGTTGATCTGGTCTGCATAATTAAATCACGACATAAAACCAGATTATCATTACACACAATTTTAAGAGCTGAGCCACAAATCAAGATGATCACAGGAGGCACAGATTAAACTGGAACCATATGCTGAGCCATGTCATGCAGTACAACCTTCTGAGCTCCCTCATGCAGTCTCTTTCCACGGGAGTAGTAGCCAAGGCCAGCCCACATCTGGTTCACTTCCTACTCATAAAGTAAAATAAATAAATATTTGAAATAATTTCACAAATCACCACAGCTGCTGCTTCTATTAATTACCTCCAGTGTAGCAGCTGCAAGATCCTGCACTGTGGGCCACCGCTGGAACACAATGAGGAAAGAGTTTGAATGATGTTTGATGAGGCTCACCACATTTAATATTTTGTAACACAAGGACACTAGGTAATGAGTACAATGAACAAGGGTGCTCACCTTCATCCACTTGTTGTAGTAGTCTTTTACTGTGGCAACTTGAGTCTGCTGCAGCATGATCTCTGAAACCCACACTGAAAAAAAAAAATCTGTCCTGTAAAGGGTGTGAGCAGCAGTTACAAATATCTGCATTTGCCAAGAAAATATTTTCTTACCTGCATATGTCCTGATGTTAAGGTCTGATTCTGTCATAGCCTGACAGAGAGAAAAAAAACACAAGTCTGTTATATTACTTTATGGTACCGGCTGGTTTTGTTTCTACAGTTCTTAAAGTGCCCATGGCATGCTTTTCTGTGTTTTCTGACTTCTCTACAATGGTATGACAATGAATTATCATCTTAAACATGATTGAAAACTCAACAAATGAGGTACACCTATGTTGTTGTACTTCTCAATTTATACAAGTCTCACAAATAGTTCACTGACTTCCTTGAATGATCACAATCTCCAGGCAGTTGCACATTCATGTGAGTTTGCCTGACATCCACTGGTGCCACTGTAAAATTGGAAGTTTTTTCGACTGCACGCGGTTTTGTGGATATATTTTACCTCCTGCTGCCTGCAATGTGACCAGAGGATGTGGAGAAAAATACAGGGCCTGAGGTTAATGCATGTCTGAGAATGCTCCTTACAGGAACTCACTGTTTTATCTGACCAGGTCTAAGTTACAAGCAGGCGGCTAGCAAGCCCTCCATGCCGGTGAATGACCAGCTCATCAATGCTGGATTCCCCCGGAGCACAGTACCTGTTTGTTTTGACTGCTTGAGGCCAGCGTGTCTGCCGCATGTGATGTGTTGTGGGTTGGTGAGAGGATTCTAAAAATCCATGATATTATTATTGTCAATGGAAGGCTACCTGTTATGAGTGTATATGGTCGCCTGTAACACAAGGGACTTGTGGAAGAAGATCAAGTATTAAAAAAAAACAAAAAAACATTGCATGTCTGTTAATACCTTGTTTCTGTAAGGTTAGAGAGAATTGCTGTATAGCTGGAGAAGTTACTATGTCTGCATTATGCCAGTTAATATATGGGGGTTCTCAATTACCCGCTTTGCTTTGTTTAGAGTGTCTCTTTTCATCAGTATATATGCTGTTGCGGTTTGTCGTGCTGTTGTCACACTGTTCACTTTCATATTCTGGCTCGAACATGTCAGGTATTGGAGTATTGTCATTGCTGAAGATGTAGCTTGTTTGTCAAAGTTTTTTGTTTATGTGTTGCCCAGGCTTCCTAACTAGCAACAGGAGTTGTGCACATTCATGTACTATCCTTTCGTTTTCAGGAGGAGGCTCTCCTTGTGATATCGGGTTTTATCATTCTGACATAACAGACTATTTGGAGTTATGATGGGGGTAAAACTAACCTAGAGGTACCCGAAATGAGCATGCCATGGCCACTTTAATGTGTATCAAAGGCTGAGGGATATAAGTTTATTTGAGAAATATTAATCATAATTTTACAATAATAAGGATGCATTTCATTTAGTAAAACATAAAAAGATACAGGAAAAAGTGAAATTGTGTCATATATCATCAATAAGATATTTTGACCGTTTTGTACATCTTTAGTATAACGTGCATATAATCTGTAGAGCATGGAACATGCCTTCACTCTGCTGTTCAACTTTAACACTTTTTTTTTATTCTATCTGCATCTGTACAATGCCAAAATAGAAGGTTAGAAATACTACTGAAACCATCTAATCACATACGTCACAAAGTTGCTGCAGTAACAATACAAACATTTTAATAATTAGCCTACATATAGGATTATAATTATTCTGATTTTTCACTAAAACTTTCAAACACCAAAATTCATTGTCAAAAACCAGTTTAAAAAGTTTCTTTTTACCAGAGTCCTCCATGGCAGCTCTCTCTTCTCCTGGTCATACCAGTACAGGAGCTGACAACGCAGCCGCACCACCGCTGTAGAGTCAGGAAAGGTGTGGTATGTGGACAGTGAGGCATCCTTCGTGGTTTTCTCTGAAGACCAAAATCACGATTCTCATTCAAAAACAAACCCTTGGGCAAATACCCATGACATTTGAGTAGTATTTCAATAGCCCTCAAAAGCACTAGCAGGATTCAAATCCTGTATGTTATCAATGAACTTTTTAATTTAAATATGTAGACCTACCGTCTTTCACGACCGTCGCTGACGTCTTCCGATTTGGTTTTGCCGTTTCTACCACTTCCAGTCTGGCTCTTTTTCCTTTGTGCACAGCTGAACGTAGCCTGCTCATTATTTCATTTCTCTCCACACAGCATGATACCGCTTATTTACCTCATTGATAAAACCCGCCATGTTCAGAATAGAAAGTCGCTGCTCGTCCAATCCGCTGCAAGGAAGCAAGGGACGCAGGTGAACGTCATCTCCGGTGGGAGGGTCATCACTAAAATTACCCAATAGGTAGAGGTTGTGCAAGTATTTCATACTGACTATTATTGACCTGGATTAAAGAAAGCATTTCATTATTTCATTACTAAATAATCAAAATAAGCAACACTAAAATCTCTTTTAGACACGTGTAGTTTAAGAATAAAGGTAGGAGGCAAATGTCAGTTCAATTTGTATTCTATAATAGACAGGCTAGCTCTTTCTAGCGGGCTCCTGTGGCATCATGTCGATGTCTTTTAGTTTGTTGTTTTATATTTATACTTCGATATGGAAGTCTCCCATTAGCTTTTGATATTATATTGTGTGTTTTATTTTGCTCTTGGTTTAATTGTTTATGTAGCTGATTTTATACTCCTAATACATGTTTTTCTATGAAGCGCTCTGGGCTCCTCTGGAGTTGTAAAGTGCTAGACAAATAAAGTATTATTATAATAATAAATGAATTATGTCCTGTTTCTTCTGGTTTAATTAATTCAGATTTTTTCAGATGGAATATCAGCTTTTAATGTGACTATAAGATTGAAAAAATCATTAGTGAATTCAATCCCTGTAGAAGATGTTTAAAATAGTTGTTTCATTGACAACAATTAACACAAAACTCCAGTATTTAGCCACATTTTCAAAATTTTATTGAACTGCAAAACTGAAATAATGTATCCTCTTTGTCAGTGCTGGGGAGTAGCCTAACTAGTTACATATTTTATTTATAAAGCACATTTGAAACAAAAGGTGTTTGCAAAAATGCTATACATAGTAAAATAAATTTAAAACATAAAACAAATATAAAAGGAAAAAACTAAAGGTGGCACATCACGCTTTACCTATTGGCAATAACAGAAGTATTAAATAATAACAAGTTGCGGCAAAAGAGGGAAACAAAGACAGGACTATCACAAAGCATTATGACTTGTGAGCCAGAGCATAAAACTGTCTTTAGCAGAAATTTAAAGACAGACACTGAAGGGGCCACTCTAATATGTAGGAGTAAGTTATTCCACAGCTTGGCTGCAACAGAAAAACGCACATGCTAATAGTTACTGTAATTAAAAATAAAAAAATGTTATTAAATTACAGTTACAAATCTAAATGTTGGCGACTACAAAGAGGTTACATCTGAATATATTCTTTTCAGTATAAAACAAAAAAAACTTAGGTCAGAGAATATAAGGTTTGCATCTTGTACATGTTTCACAATAATATATTATGTAACTGAAGTTATGTTAAAAAAACCTTGAATAAATGTTTTATAGTAATAGGTGTTAAGTACTGCCTGGTTTACATTTATGTTAGGCCTTTTGAGCTTTATTGCCCAGTTCAAAACATTTTTTAGAAAAGTAACCAAAAAGTAATAAGTTACATTATTTTGATGAAGTAATTAAACTACTTACAATACATATTACATTTTTAACAAGGTAACTGGTCATCTGTAACCTCTTGCATTTGGAAATGCTGCTCCTTATCAGCCTTCAGAGTTCTTCTCACCATCCAAAGCTAAAAAGATTGACAAGAAAAACTGTTATTCTGAGATAAAACAGTGAACTGAGGATTCTTAGGATAAACTGAAAACTGTCATTACCTTCAGTTATGTTAACCTTGTTAGAAAGCAGGATTTCTGCTTGTATTTCATCCATATTCATGTACAAAGTCTCAGGTTTGTGCTGGAGAAACAGGGTGGCTGGATTTGTTAGTACGGCTTTCTATCAGTGTCTACACAGTACACACAGTATTTTGTATCTCAGTAAAGCTTACCATAAAGGCTGCAAACAGTGTACTGCCCAAGAGTCTCTGCATATGTTCCTCAATTGCTGGTAATGAGCGGACAAAGTGCTGGGCAGAAATAAAAGCAGTTATAATGAGCATGTGTAAGAATATACAGTATGTGTCTGTCTGAATTTGTATGTAGGGTTGCATTTGTGTGATAGTGGCACATTAGAACTGTGACAAACATAAAATATCTTTATATTCAGAGTCCAACTTGAAAAACTTTGCTCTGCTCATTTCAGGCTGTTTTTTCAGTGTTGGTTACTGTCTTAGTAAAGCAAATATCTGTCTTGTGTGTTTTTGTATATGTGTGCATATATGTACCGCCAAGGCCAGGCTGGCTTGTATTTGTGCCTCAATGTGCTCTCTGTTGCCCATGGCGTACAGAAGGTTCTGGATCACTCCAAGAGAGAGAAGCTCTTGGGAAAGCTCATGGTCTTCCTCAGCCAACATCCTTTAACACATTCCACATGAAAACACTGAACTCATGAAAATAAAATAATGCAATATTCTAGAAATATATTTATTGCATAATAAACTACAAAAATGTATGGACTCATATTTGTGTTTACATTATCCAGTTTAAACTTAAAGACCATACCGTATTGCTTTAGCTGCAGCAGCTTGTTGCTCAAACACAGGCAGAGATCCAGTCATCTTGATCATCTCAGCCTCCGATAGGACTTTACACATCAACAAAAATGTTAATGTGACAAATAACCTGCTGTATCTGTTTGCAAAATTTCAAAACCTTTATGCAAAACCATTAAAATAACTTTTTTGAAACATGGAAAGCTGGTCTCAGTTTCCTAATGTCAGAACCTTTGCTGTCACTGTCTAAAGCAGCAGTCTGAGGAACAATCCTGCACTTTCAAAAAATCGACAGACATCGAGACCTCAGACCAAAGTGTCACCTGTGTTCCTGTGCTCCTGTATGTCTTCGTTAGTAGGCATCGAGACCTCAGACCAAAGTGTCACCTTCTGTGTTCCTGTGCTCCTGTATGGCTTCGTTAGTAGGTCTCAGCAGAGCCACCAGGCCACTGAGCAGCACTGGTCTTACATCATAGGACCTCAGGTCTAACATCAGATTAATAGCTGCCAAAAAGATACATAAAGATCAAAACAAGGTTAAAAGGTAATAATATATTACAGGATATATTTTTCCCTTCATAAAACTATGACTAGTGGACAAGATTCAGCATACAAAACAAAAAAAAATTTTTTTTTAACTAAAAAAAATTATAAGTCAAGCCCAAATTTCACCACCATACAGTATCTTCTGTGCTTACCTTCATCCTGGACGTCCAGCTGCAGAGACGTGAGCATATTCAACAGAGGTTCTACAATGCTGTGATTGATTGTCTTCAATTTGGACTGTTGAAGAGAATAATGGGAAACTTGTTGTATTGCTTAAATTGTAGACATAACATCATTTGCCAGGGTATTAACAATAAAATCTGCAGTTCAGTAATCACGATAAAAGAAAAGCCAGATAATTTTTTTTAAAGGCAAGGTTCATTGTATGAAACCGCAAGAATGAGTGCATGTACAGGCTCTGACAATGACAAAAAGTAAATGCTTATTGTAATATACTGACACTTGTACACTCAGGATGTCTCTGGTTTTACCTGCACAGTGCGTAAAGCATGTAAGACCAGCTGCTGAGTCTTAGGAGAAGTATGAGTCATGAGAGTAATCAGACATTTATAAATTTGGTTTAGGTATTTAGGATTTCCATGCGACAGGGATTCCATCAGAGTCCATGCTACCTCTTGGGTTTCCTCTGCATTTGACTTGGCCAGGCACTCCGCTATGACTTTCACACCTGCAGGAAAGTCAACAATAGAAAGGACAAAGCTGACATGATGGTGCCTATAGTGCTGTGCAAATTACATCAATCCAAATGACATGCACTTTGAAGAGACTAAAATTTATATTTATCTATTTATAGTGAAATTGTAAACTGTTTTAATAAGGAGATTATCCACATGCACATATTATACAATGCTAGTCTATACAACACTATAAATTATAGGCAAATTCTTTATGAAATGTACCACAGCTTTCACAGATTATCTCTCTGTACTTGCAACCAGCATTTGAGACAGTGAGCAGAAGATGCAGGGCCTCTGCCTTGTCCTCCTCTTTGCTCTGAGCGTGGCTCAAGATGTCCAGGAGAGTGAGAACCCCTCCATCCTCCAGGAACTCCATCAGGTATTGATCACTGGGGAATACCAGAAAGGTGGGCCACTGAAGAAAATGACTCAGTTACAGTATTGTACAGACTATGATGCAGTATTATATCTCACTCACTGGTTTGATGAGAAAATGACTCAGTTACAGTATTGTACGGACTATGATGCAGTATTTTATCTCACTCACTGGCTTGATATAGAAAGGAAAATCCCAAGTGCTTTCAGCTGGAGTCCCAAACATGTCCCAAACATGTATCTGAATATTCAGTGAAGGACTGATACTCAGCTGATTACAGTGGCAAGGAAGAGTAACCTCAGCAAACCCTTACTGTACATGCAGACATTAAACTAAGACACAACTATGAACAAACAAACAATCTATTATACATTTGCATTAGCTGTTAATTATTGGCAATATTAAATTTAAATCGACTGTGACTGGCCAGATTTTCCCCGGGGCTGAAGCACCAAGATGAAGAAAAGATACGTGAGTCTCATCCATGTGGTGAGTCGAGCCAGAAATAGACTGGCCACCTGTGCAAACTCCAGCTCCAGCTCATAACACGTTTTCCCTGTGTTTTTGGTCAAAAAGGTGTTCAACATGCAGCTGCGGACTCTCCTGCCACCGCGGTCCCATTGCCTAAGAAAACTCAGCACTTTACCGATGTTCGCTTGTTCTTCCTGTGCTGACATCGACATCGTGTTCCCACTTCTGCTTCGCTTCTCACGCCGGAGAACTTACACTAATTCTATAAACTTTTTTTTGCTCCAAGAACCAGAGCCAGACACAGGCGTGAATCTAGCTGCTCGTCGAACGGTTACCTAACACGCTATAATTAACAAAATTAATGGGTTTGTCTTCAAAGATGCTCATTTTCCGCGACTTGATTAGCTCCATAGGTAGCTTTTCCCTCCACTAACCATAGTTTATTACAACTAGACAACGGTTACCTAGCAACGAAACCAAACACCATTCCGGGTCTGTACAAGACAGAGCACAGGAACCTGCAGTTAATAATAACAACAATAATATACAGTACATATATATTAAGTAGGCTATGTTTCTAAATTAAATCAGGATCTCAGAAGTAGGCCTACATTAGACGTGATGGGACAGGAGCATCAGAACTTGCCGAATACGATACTAATGGCCTATCTTAATAATTATAGACTGCAATGTACTGTATCACTGAAGTCATCTGCTACTATAGGCTATCTGTTCACACAAGACCTTTAACAATTCATATAACATTTTCCAAAATACACTGTTGAATAAAAATATCATGTTGATGTTTAAGCTATTCATTATAAAGATATATAGGATAGACAAAAAATATCTCCTAATTAGACTATGAGATTCATATCTCTTTCTTTCTTTCTTTCTTTCTTTTAATGAATGCAGTTTACTTGTGTAACCTGGTAAAGCCTTATCATCTCTTCAGACTTTCCAGTAGATGGTGTGAGCCAAGAAAAATGATCATTATTAGGTTGGTGTTCACAACAGCAGAAACAAGATGCAATTGCATTGTTTTACAGTGAATTATTTTGTTCCAATATGATCAGTTTACATGCATGTGTTTGGAGAGTGGGAGAACATGTTTCCCTGAGGCTGTGCTGCTGATCACCGAGTCACCCATGTCGCCCAGGAAGAGGAGATGGAGGTCTGAGAGTGGAAGGTAAGGAGGTAAGGGGAGGGGGTAAGAGGTAAGATGATGTTGATGGGAGGGTGGAGGTGGTTGAGGGAGAGGAAGTGTGGGAAGGGGAAATATTTGTGGGGGGCTGGGGGTAAGAGGATGGGAGAGGTTAGAAAGAGAGAACAGATGATATTCCCTTCTTCTCCTTCTTCTCTCTCCTCCCCTTCTTTCTTCTCCATCTCCTTACTCTTCATTACATTCTTCACCTGCTTTTCTGTCTCCTTCTTTGCTTTCTTTTCCTCCTAATTCATCTTTGCCTTTTCTTTGTCAGATTTTAAGGCAAGTTCACAAAAAAAACAGACAGCATATATTTCACAATTTTCTCTTCCAAATCTGAAACAAACTTACAATTCAATTAGTTATTATTCAAATCAAAACAACTGGCTGATGTGTTGTACCTGAAGCTTAAAATTTTGTTTGATCTGGAGCTTGATCTCCTCCTCCATCTTGCTCACCTTGTTGTGCCAGTCCTGCTCCTTGATGAACCGCTTCTCCCCTGTCTCTCCGCTCTGTTTCTGCAGCTCCTGCGTCTTTTGAAGCTGTCCTTCTTTTTTGGCCAGTTCACATCTGAGGTGATGCTCCAGAGCTTTGTACTGTATTTGCCATTGGGTCTCACATTGGTGGAGACCTGTCTCAGTAGTTTGCAGCTTGGCCACATTCTCCATGTTCTCCTCTACCACTCCCATCACCTAGGTCCCGGCACTGATGATCAAGTTCATCCTTTTTTGGACAACCTGGTGCACTTTATTTTAAAAGTCTTTCTGCAGAGATTGGCAGCTACCTCCTCCTGCCCTAACAAAACACCAGTCTTCCCACTCTGCATTAAGCCCTGTAAGGGTTTTGTCAGAGGAAATCTTTATCTCCTTGACCTGTGTAGTGGTTAAAAAGACTGAGCTGCAAGTGCTGATATCTGGAATGTGACGTTGTGTCTTTGACTGTTGAGACTACATGGCCAAATGACTGTGGGACACAGGACAAAGAAAGCCGAGGCAATGGTGTATTGGCTTGAGGATGTGGATAACCCCTTTATAAATTTAGTTCAAATGTGAATGAACTTCATTAATGTTGATTTGTCAGAAGCATCACCTCCTGTTTGTCAACTTCACTGCACTCTTCAATATTTTAAGACAGTCTGAAGTACAGTCACATATTTAGCTTAAAGAACAGAAGGCTCAAATATAATTTTCTCTTACTGGGATAGGGAAATAGTTAGCTGTAATGAGAAAAAAAGGAAAAAGAGCATTCTACATGTTGCATTAGGGTGAATATAGGCTCAATGATTATATGGCAAAATTTATGCAGTAATACTTCAATCTTGCCTGTGATGAAAGTTGACAAAAATAAGTGTCAAGTGGTACGTTATTTAGGTGATGTGTTAAACCTGATATATCTTTAAATGAGGTCATAGAGGATTTTTAAACTGAAGCTCTAAATTTACATGTACTGTGGGTAAATGTAATTTAAATGTAAATTTGTTCATGTTAATGACGAATGTTCCACACAAACTGAAGTTAGTCACGGCGTTCCACAGGGCTCTGTGTTAGGTCCAATTCTCTTCACTTTATACATGCTCCCTTTAGGCAATATTATCAGGAAGCACAACATAAATTTCCATTGCTATGCAGATGATAGTCAGTTATATTTATCTATGAAGCCAAATGAATCAGGTCAGCTGGTCAAACTTCAAGCATGTCTTAAAGACATAAAGGCCTGGATGACCTGCAACTTCTTACTTCTAAACTCTGACAAAACTGAAGTTATTGTGCTTGGGCCTGAAAACCTTAGAAATCTGCTGTCTAATCATATAGTTACTTTAGATGACATAGCTCTTGCCTCCAGTACTACTGTGAGGAACATTGGAATATATCAATATCAAAATATGTCCTTTAAATCACACATAAACCAAGTCACTAGAACTGCCTTCTTTCACCTGCGAATATTGCGAAAATCAGGAGCATCCTGTCTCAAAGTGATGCTGAAAAACTGGGCCATGCATTTGTTACTTCCAGGCTGGACTACTGTAACTCTTTACTATCAGGATGTCCCAATAATTCCCTAAAAAGCCTCCAGTTAATCCAAAATGCTGCAGCCAGAGTACTGACAGGAACTAGCAAGAGAGATCATATCTCTCCCATATTAGCTTCTCTCCACTGGCTCCCTGTAAAATTCAGAATAGAATTTAAAATCCTTCTCCTAACATACAAAGCCCTTAATGACAAGGCTCCATCGTATCTTAAAGACCTCGTAGAGCCGTATCATCCTAACAGAGCACTTCGCTCTCAGAGTGCAAGTTTACTTGAGGTTCCTAGAGTCCACAGAAGCAGAATGGGAGGCAGAGCCTTTAGCTATCAAGCTCCTCTCCTATGGAACCAACTCCCAGTCGCAGTTCGGGAGGCGGACACCCTCTCTACCTTTAAGATTAGACTTAAGACGTTCCTTTTTGATAAAGCTTATAGTTAGGGCGGGATCGGGTGACCCTGAGCCTTCCCTTATTTATGCTGCTATAGGCCTAGGCTGCTGGGGGGCCCCATGATGCTCTGAGTTTCTCTCCCCTCCCCTCCTCTCTCTCCTTTCCTCTCTCTCCCTATGCTTCTATATGCCACCATTACACATTACTAATAAAGGCTTTATTCTATTATAAAGCCACGTCCGGTTCTTTCAAACCAGGAACTCAGAGGGATGACTCAGACCACTTGGATATATAAAAAATATAACCGTGTTGGTTTATTCAAGGATCACAGGCAAAATTAACATTACAAGTCCAGAGATCTTCCAACCCCCAGGCTGCCCAAGCAGCCCGGAAGCCGCCCACCAAGAGCCGGGGTCTGTCGGAGGTTTCTTCCATTAAAGGGAGTTTTTCCTCCCCACTGTCACCAAGTGCTTGCTCAAGGGGGATTTGTTGGGTTTTCCCTATGTAATAATATTGATAAGAGTAAGGTCTAGACCTTACTTTGTAAAGTGTCCTGAGATGACTTTTGTTGTGATTTGGCGCTATATAAATAAAATTTAATTTGATGTTCCACCTGAGGTCAAGTGGTTTAATATGATTGACCTATGTTCTGCATCTTTCAAGGTTAGGGATTAGTGTTAGGGTTATGACCCAGCTGTGTTCTCATCTATTTGCAAGCGCAAGTCAGAGATGCTGAGTTCAGTCATGCTTAGAGCAGTTGAGAGAAAGACATTGCAGCCGGCAAGGATGGGAAAAAAGCAGACGGTATTGAGGAGGTGACAGAGTGAAACTGCAAGGAAGTGAACTGATCAAAGGAGAATGGACTTGGACATTATATTTTCATACATTCATACTACACAGAATTCATGCATAGCAGTTATTTAGTACCTTGTTATTCATACATTCATTACTTAATTGTTTACATCATTGAGTATTTTCATCTCAGATGTATCCATGAGCAGAAGATTTTTGGTTTGAGCTTGTATTCTCATATATAAGGGAATTAGATTAAAGTATATTTAATAGGCAATATTTAATATTTACACAAGCAGTTCAATTATTGGTCTTTGTGTTACAGCTATGTTATATTTTGAGTTAATTTTCAAAATTTTCACTATGTCTGGTTTTTTCTACAATCAGGTTCACTGCAGGATGGTTGGTGATCACCCAAAAATGGGGGTTGTAAAAAGGGGGGTGGTACAGGACCCCCCCCCCCCCCCAAAAAAAAGACAAAAAGAATAGACAAAAAGAACAAACAATAATCAATATATAATATATAATGGGTTTTTTTGCCTGAATGTGCAGTGAAGAAATAATTGTAATCATATGCACTGAGGCTGTTTGTTTTAGAGTACAGACACTTGGGAATACTGAAAACCGTGTTGTTACCTGGCAGGGGGGAACAGGATCACCATTTCATGTTTGTTGTTCATTTTTATGTTCATGTCTGTTTATTTGTAGTCTGTTATGAATGGGAAGTCATGTGTCATTTCATATAGTTAATTTGTTCACTATACGTAGTTAATTACTGCTAGGATGTGAGATGTTAAGAGATTTGACTGAAGGAGTTGGTTGATGAAGTTAGCCAGTTATCCTGGCTCATGTCCTCTTTTAGTTTATGGGTTCGTCTTGTGAATAAACATCTAGAGAGCAGCCTCCCTTAAATTTAAAGCTTAAAGTTGGGCATAACTTCAGCCTTGTGCTCACTTTTATGTTCATGTTTAGAAAAGGAAATGTGTGCTTTGTCAGTGCGACCTAGAAGTTCATTTACTGGATATCGCAGACAAGTCCGGGAATAAGGGGTGTAGAGCTGGCATAAAACTGTGACTCTGGCTTAAGCAATAGGAGGGGAGGGTACAGGGTGTGTAACTGGGAGAAGATAAAAGTTAGAATAGTTGTGGGTTAGTGTGTGTGTGCGTTTGGGAAGGACAGACAAAAAGCCAGAACCTGGCCAAGAGGGGACCGACCTGACTCTGGACTCTGACTGACTGTACCTTGTGGCCAACAATGACTGACTCTTTGACAGTCTTCTTATCTAATACTTTTATTTCTCGGTGGAGATGGTGAATCGGTTCCCTGCCTTCCTGATTGTTGAATTATCTTACAATTTATTGAACTGTTTAGAAGTATTGTAATAATAAATAATCATTGGGATAATTTGCCTGAATTAATTTAGTTCACATCAGACCATAACAACCACACCTGGTTCATCCATCTCCTTGTGCCTAGTGTCAAACTGTTGCTGTCTGGCTCTTGTGGACTCTGAGTCCTTCACGTTGTCCAAGTCATTTCTGGTCATAATCAGTGTTGACACCAAAAGTCACATAATCTTTATTTCAAGCTCCCAGCTGAGCACCTTTCAGAACAGCATTTTTTTTTTTGCATTGAATGTTTACAAATAAGAGATACTCAACAGATTCAGGCCCACTAATGTCATCAAGAAGATTATTCCAGAGAAAGGAAGCCTAAAAGAAGAAGGCTCTGCAGCATTCTGACATCTCTTTACATTGTCTTTTACCATTTCAAAGAGAAGCAAGACTTGGTATATGGTAAGATCATTTTCTTGCTCAGTTATATTTCTTGATTGTTCTAATGATTGACGGTTTTTCATTCTCTGTTTCTCTAGGCTGGTATGATCTTCCATTACGTGACAACCACCGACATGTGTTTTCACAGGTTTGTGAGCTGTGTGTACCCACCCAGTCAGAGATGTGTCATATAGGAGAATTGTTTTTTGTGTTGGATAATATAGTCATTGTTTGATGTTTGAATAATATACAGTAGTATGTATGAACCAATAAATAAATAAACGTGGCAAATGTGGTTTGTGTGACTCTTGAAATTTTTAAAATGATTGAGGACAAAATGTGGCATCAGATTTTAAATAATTTTCTGCGGAACACCTCTTTAGTGGGTGTGGTTTGTTAGGGTGATTTTTATTTTATGCACTTAAGAATGGTTTTATTTTATAACACACATAAGTTTACATACTTATATGTTACAGATATGCTTATATTCTGCTGGAGGCGGGAGTTGAAGATCTCTCTGACAGGGGATTCTGCTAAACATTCCCAACAGACCCTCACAATACGTTTGGGTCTGTCTGTCGAGTCTGTCCAGCTTCCTCCCCCGCCATCGGATCCAGCTCACCACCAGGTGGTGATCAGCTGACAGCTCCGCACCTCTCTTCACCTGAGTGTCCAAGACATACGGCTGCAAGTAAGATGAAACAACCACAAAGTCGATCATCGACCTCCGACCTAGGGTGTCCTGGTGCCACGTGCACTGATGGACACCCTTATGCTTGAACATGGTGTTTGTTATGGACAAACTGTGACTAGCACCAAAGTCCAATAACAGAACACCACTTGGGTTCAAATCGGGGGGGCCGTTCCTTCCAATCATCCCCCTCCAGGTATCACTGTCGCTGCCCACGTGAGTGTTGAAGTCCCCCAGTAAAACAACGGAGTCCCCAGTTGGAGCGTTTTCCAGCACCCTTCCCAGAGACTCCAAGAAGGCCGGGTACCCTCCACTGCCATTCAGCCCGTAGGCACAAATGAGAGACCTATCCCCGACCTGAAGGCGCAGGGAAACAGCCCTCTCGTTCACCGGGGTGAACTCCAACACATGGCGGCTAAACTGGGACTGTTGGAGTTTCCTAACTGTGCATATGACAAATAAACACTTTGACAAATGATTGACAGCCTGTAGCTTGTCTCAACTCACTTCTTTTGTTTGTGGGCACCTTTCAGAACAGCATTTTTTTTGCATTGAATGTTTACAAATAAGAGATACTCAACAGATTCAGGCCCACTAATGTCATCAAGAAGATTATTCCAGAGAAAGGAAGCCTAAAAGAAGAAGGCTCTGCAGCATTCTGACATCTCTTTACATTGTCTTTTACCATTTCAAAGAGAAGCAAGACTTGGTATATGGTGTGATCATTTTCTTGCTCAGTTATATTTCTTGATTGTTCTAATGATCAACGGTTTTTCATTCTGTGTTTCTCTAGGCTGGTATGATCTTCCATTACGTGACAACCACCGACATGTGTTTTCACAGGTTTGTGAGCTGTGTGTACCCACCCAGTCAGAGATGTGTCATATAGGAGAATTGTTTTTTGTGTTGGATAATATAGTGATTGTTTGATGTTTGAATAATATACAGTAGTATGTATGAACCAATAAATAAATAAACGTGGCAAATGTGGTTTGTGTGACTCTCACTGTCGCTGCCCACGTGAGTGTTGAAGTCCCCCAGTAAAACAACGGAGTCCCCAGTTGGAGCGTTTTCCAGCACCCTTCCCAGAGACTCCAAGAAGGCCGGGTACCCTCCACTGCCATTCAGCCCGTAGGCACAAATGAGAGACCTATCCCCGACCTGAAGGCGCAGGGAAACAGCCCTCTCGTTCACCGGGGTGAACTCCAACACATGGCGGCTAAACTGGGACTGTTGGAGTTTCCTAACTGTGCATATGACAAATAAACACTTTGACAAATGATTGACAGCCTGTAGCTTGTCTCAACTCACTTCTTTTGTTTGTGGGCACCTTTCAGAACAGCATTTTTTTTGCATTGAATGTTTACAAATAAGAGATACTCAACAGATTCAGGCCCACTAATGTCATCAAGAAGATTATTCCAGAGAAAGGAAGCCTAAAAGAAGAAGGCTCTGCAGCATTCTGACATCTCTTTACATTGTCTTTTACCATTTCAAAGAGAAGCAAGACTTGGTATATGGTGTGATCATTTTCTTGCTCAGTTATATTTCTTGATTGTTCTAATGATCAACGGTTTTTCATTCTGTGTTTCTCTAGGCTGGTATGATCTTCCATTACGTGACAACCACCGACATGTGTTTTCACAGGTTTGTGAGCTGTGTGTACCCACCCAGTCAGAGATGTGTCATATAGGAGAATTGTTTTTTGTGTTGGATAATATAGTGATTGTTTGATGTTTGAATAATATAGTGTGTATGAACCAATAAATTAATAAACATGTGGCAAATGTGGTTTATGTGACTGTTGAAATTTTTTAAATGATTGAGGACAAAATGTGGCATCAGATTTTAAATAATTTTCTGCGGAACACCTCTTTAGTGGGTGTGGTTCTTCCTGGAACTGTACTTAACTGTGAATGGATTTCTCCCGTTTACCTCATCCCTGAAATTCCTTTCTTAAACTCACTTCATTTTGAGTTCTGGTAAGTTCATTAAGCTATTTAACAAGATAAAGGTACATACTATTAATGGCACTGCAGTTATTTATTTAGAGAAAGACATCAGTTTGGTCACACCATACTGTAAATGTTCACTGAAGCTGTAGTTGAGTTAGATGTTAGAAAACCCATCCACAGTGCATCTCTATTGTATGTATGTATGAGGCTGGTACTGCATCAAAAAGTGTTACATTTTGCTCTTATGAGGAGTTTATATTTGGTTTAGTGACATTTAGTTATATTTTAAACTGAACTATAAATAAGAGTGACAAAACAGTAAGAAGCCGGACCAACTTAGCTCTGCTGCATCTGAGTTAAATGAGACCAGTTGAAGGTTACTTTCAAAATGGGTTCAAATAGGTTACAGATTACTAGTTACCCCATTAAAATAGAATAAGTAATGTAACTATGATTTACTTAAAGTAATGCAATTTACTTTAATTAATTTTTCACTAACTTTCTAAAAAATGTATTAAACTGGGCAATAAAGCTGGAAAGTCCTAACATAAAATTAATCAGGCTGTGAAAACCTGACAATAACATTCTAAACCTTTATTAAAGGTTCCTTACCATAATTTCAGTTACATAATATGTTACTGTTGAAACATGTAGACTATAGAACAGGCACCAAAAAAGACCCTTTTCTGACTTCAGAAGTAAAATACAGTTGATTTTCCAGCACTGAAAGGTGTTCTAGCATGACAACATGACCACCCAGGCACAGCAGACTCAGATTGCCTACAGCAGTGTGCGATGTTCTGACTGGCAGAAGAGAGGTGGTGCACAGTCCAGTAAATTAACCAAACATAACCAACGTTCAAAACTTAATGCATGTTGCCAAATGAATGGAGATTATCTAGATGTACATACAGACAACTCCTTGTACACCATCCTACCCATGATAGTGTTGCATTTAAATTTGTCCTGACAGCTTTGCTGACATGTATTTTTCTGTTTTCCCCAGTGTAATGCAACCAAAATGACAGAGAGTATGTTATTAATCTGCATCCTTCTGCTGAGCATCAGCTTGTCTGCTGGTGAGTAAACAGTGATTATCACATGAAGCTGTAAATGAACTCTGGCAATAAAGGTGGAAGAAACTAACTCAGATTATTTTGACTACATTTAAAAAATATATATTTAAAAATTGTATAACATCATATAACATTTTACTTTGCTTTTCTTTGAGTATCTTTGGATCTAATAAACTAACTATTTTATCAATTGGTATGAACCCAGCCTTATTTTATAAATGATAATGGAGGCAACACATAGTTTAAGACATAACTTCTTTATAATGTTTATAATGCCAACATTCTTAAGAGAAACCATATTTATAATTGTTTATCATATAAATATTTTAAAGAATCCTTTACCATTCAACATAACTCTACTGCAAATATATAGCAACACCTGGGCTCAGACATGGTTTACTTGTGTAAATACAGATGTCTTTTTCATCTTTGACTATTTGAGTAACAATCAGTGTATATAGGTTGGTTATTATTTAACATTTGATTGATTGTGTTGCATCACTTTAGGTCAAGAAGAAGGTTTTACTAGATTGGTTGGTGGTCAAGATTCCTCAGAGGGGCGTGTTGAGATCTTTCATAATGGTGCTTGGGGAACTGTGTGTGATGACAACTGGGATATGAATGAAGCCCAAGTGGTGTGTCGGCAGCTCCGTTTCCTCGGTGCAAAAGAAGCTCTGCAATCAGCTACATTTGGCAGCGGTAAGGAGGCTCTACCTACCTGTGACAGTGCGGAAAGTCAGTCAATAGTAACCATGTCTGGGACTGCCTCGTCAGAAACAACTCAGAATAACTCACAAAATAAGTGTTGGAACATTATTGACAATATTTTCTGCAAATTATTATGAAACTAACTATTCCTTATTGTGTGAACACTCTTGTCTTAGGGGAAGGCAACATTTGGATGGATGATTTAGGGTGTGGTGGGACAGAGACACACCTGCTTCAGTGTCAGTTCCCTGGGTGGGGGGTCCATAACTGTGGTCATGGTGAAGATGCTGGTGTCCGATGTGAAAATGGTATGGCAACCCAAGCTGTACTCTGATGAACAAAATATAACACACTGAACCCGTCTCACTTACTGTGCTTATGTTGATCTCTATCAGGCCCAGAACCTACCAACAGAGATCTCAGCTATGTATATGATTTGGACCACAACACAAGCCTCTCTCACCAGCTTGGGGAACTGTTTGACAGTGGAGATGACTGTGATATCAACATTGTAGTGGTGGTGGACAACAACACTGTGGAGACAATCTGTGCTCACAAAATCATCCTTTCTCTAAACTCAGACCTGAAAACTACACAGCCAGATTTCAACAGCCTCAGCATTGATGTTAATTCTGACTGCATTCAACATGCCAACAACTTTGTCAGGTAAAAGCGACTTCAAACTGCCACTATATATATATACAGTATCTGTCTATGGAGCCCTGAAAATTCAAGATACCTAGATCCAGTTCTATGAGGATCTGTACTATATAAGTATGTTTGTAGCTCAGTATGGGCTAACAGTTTTCACTACTGCTTTAATCCACTGAGGCTCCACCCTGGCACCCTAAGACAGATTGTTGCACTCACCACCCAATCAGGAGCTAGCATCCTTGTATTATAAAATGTTGGTGCTCCTACTGCTCTGCTTGTGTTAACATGACTGTGACAATGCTCCCACATGCAGTATGTTGTACTAAGCAAAGCATGGGACAGACAATTAATTATGTCCCTGAGATAAGACTGCACATTAGATCATGAGGCTGCCAGGCAAATATGTTTCCCTGACTCACCCCTGTTAAGGGCAGGCAATGAGGCTCTCAGAATGTGCTGACAAAGCATTGGGCCATAACAATTGTGAATAGCATCACAGAACCAATTAGCTATCTGCTGCATGAACAAGGGGATTCCCTCAGCCTGTGGATCGTAGCAGACAAAAGAGTTGGTCAGACTTCCAGACATATCTCATGTAGCATGACAGTGCATGAATTGGCCACAGCAGATAATAATAATGGAACAGACTAAACTTATTAAAAGCTTACCAGACAAATCAACAATAAACTAAAAAAAATGCTATTGTTAGTTAAATAACTAAAATTAAGAAACTAAAGTACACCTTCATACAATTTTGTTTCTGTTTTTTCCACCAATCGGCTGATAAAACAATTAAGAATTAGGAAGGTGGGAAAGGTGGTGATGATAATGAAATGTTGCATGGGGGAAATAATGTCTAAATGATTAAATATGTGGCAAGACCAAATTTGGGAGAATTAGGGTACTGAAAAATTTGTTAGTGAAAAAAAGAAAATCAATTGATAGGAAAGAAAATATGTAAAGCTTATTTTCCTTTCTATACCTTTTACACTTAATTATTAAACTGAGAATATTAGTTATTAATTCCGGTATTGTATTTATACCTTTTACTACATTTTATCATTTTTGGGGCACCATATTTTATGAGGTAAACCTTACATCTCAAATCGCTTTGCACTATCTGTTACTTAAATTTGGTATCTAATTCCAAACACTTTTAACTAATAATTTGTTGTATGTGTGCTGTTAGAAGCTAAGCCTTGCTAATTAAAATGTCTGAATTTCAGATACTTCTACACAAGAAAGCTCAAAGTCACACTATCCTCTGCTTGTTGCATTCTCAAGATGGCATTTGACTGGGGTGTGAAAGACATTCAGAATGAAGCAGAAAATCTTTTCAGACTGTTTCTCCCAGAGGATGTCGTTTTTCAGAATCAGAACTTTTTCTATGAGTATGCAATTCGTACAGGTGATGAGGCACTGCAGGAAATCTGTCTTCGCTACCTGGCGTGGAACTGTGAGGCACTGATCCGTTCCCCAGCCTGGACAATTCTTCAGTTTGGTCTGGTCAAAGCTCTTCTTTCTCGGTCAGACCTTGTGGTGCGTAATGAAACCGTCATCCTGAGAGGCCTGGAGAGATGGGTGGCAGCTCAAGGAAACACTACTATTCCTGAGAGCCTTCTCAAGCTCATTCATTTCCCAATGATACCAGCTGAGGACTTATACACACTAGATGGCGCACAGTACCATGCCAGTAAGTTGCAGGGTTTTCAGTTTAATGCCCTGCCTGTCATGATGCTGCTCAGTCACCTGACAGAAGAACAACATGTCTACACATCCAGGATTTACACAGGAGGTCCATGGAGCTTTAGCTTCAGCACTCAGGACATCAGTGCCTACAAGAATTTTGGGTTCTACAGGCTTCGTGGCGAGAGCATCAGTAGTCTGACATCTGATTTTCAAACACCTGTTCATAACAGCGCTTACTTTATTTTTCACAAGATGCGCTGGAAAACCAGGGTATATATCCGTGATGAAGACTGCTCAAGTGAAAGTGTCTCTTGCCCTTCCTTGCCAGCTGTCAGTTTGAAGATTCAAGAAAAGAACCATAATTTACCCAGTGAGATGGAGGAACGTATTCGTTACAGGAATAGGCTTGTTGTTATGTGTGAAGGCAGGTATGTGTCCTATGTTGATGAATTTAATGGAGTTGATGACGGGACTCTTGTATTTGTTCCAAGTGGCACAGAGCAAGTCTATACATGCCACTCAAACCGGTTCTCCTACCAAGTGGTGGTACATCCTCAGTACTCCACAAACTAGCTGTGGTTTTCAAACATGAATATGGATGAATGAGGAACAACATACTGTAAATGGATATGATTGTATATGACTTGATAAAATCAATAAACTCTGTTTTGCTTAGTGTGCCTTTCCTCTCTGTGCAGCTGAAGTTAGAGCAGGATACTCTGGTAAACAGAGAACCCAAACAGAGGGGAAACATACTCTGAATTGACCACATGTAGAGTTGTTTTTGTATTGGCTCTGACCAGCTGATACTGAGAATATTTAACAAGATGAATCAGCATTTCATTAACAATGCCTAAACCCAGAATCATAAAAAGTTGGGGTGGTATGTTTTACAAATCACTGTTTTCAGTTTTAATTTTGATTTTACATGCTGTCCCAAATTTTTTGGGGGTTGTAAATACAGACAAACTGCAGAGGAGATTTCTTCCTGCCTATTCAATTCTGTTAAAGTGTAACGTGACAAATCTTACTTGTGAAGTCTCAGACAGATCCTAATGGTGGCACAGAGGGGAAAGTCAGCAGATCACTGGCTGTCTGGAACGTCTGTGGAAAAACTGGCAGATTTGTCTATCGCAAAAGGGATCCGACTTGGCTGGTTAAGACAGAGCAATAAACATATCTACATTTTCAGAACTGTTAACACTCTCCACCACCACTTTAATTACTCTTGCAGTGACTATATGATTGTTAACAATCTAATCAGTTGTTGAATAAGCAACTAAAACTGTAAAGTCTTTTAATAACCACAGCCACAGTGGTCTTGAACAAGGATAGTGTAGCTGCAGTTGCTGCTCGCGGCCACTAGGATACTGTAGCTGTTCTGAGAAACGCCTTCTGACCTTGTAGTAGTCTGAAAAACAAAAAAAGAGGAAGAGGATCAGAGCTTATTTAGTAAGTTTGACTGTAGCAGCACAGTAAGTTCTACCCACAGCTGTTCAGTCTGAATTATGGTTGCAAATGTGAAATAAATGGATATATTTTATTTACCCTTAATCTGATCACTATGGAAATTAAGCTCCTCTTGGTTGCAATTATATTCTTCTCTGGTAAGAATATTTAAATTTAGTTGGGAAAAAAAACACTAATGATGTTTTTCCTTTACAGATGTCCTAGATGAAGCTTTAATTTGTTTGCTGCTGTGTTTTCTTGTTTTCCAGATTTCTCCCTTTGTGTAAAAGTTCACCAACCTCCATTTGTATTCAGTGGTGAATGAGACAAAGCTGCAACTTTGCAGTACAAACAAGATGGCAGTCAGTTTTACTACATGTACTGGTACAGACAGAGCAGCATTGGGAAAATACAGCTGGTCACATACCTGTATTCTGTTAATAAATATGAATGGAGCATTGAGGCTCCTTTCAACAATTCCAAGTACACCATGTCCTGGCCTGCAGTGCTTAAATCTTCACTGCAGATACATCATGTCAAAGCTGAAGACTCAGCTGTGTATTACTGTGCCTCTAGTAGAGGCAAAGCCTCAGCAGCTAAACAACAACCTTACCAAGAAGACACAACATAGAGAAGGGATGGTAAATGTGTTAGACTCCAGGGGGCACTGAGCGGGATTTAGTTGAAGTGACAATAGACAAACATCAGTATGACATGAAAATATGCAACAAAAATGTTTAAAAAGCAATATGAAAATCTATTAGTTCATTAAAAAGTACAAGATCCGAGTCTCCACATATCAGCAATGTTTCTGCAACACCACAAAGCTGATCAGTGATAAGTGAGCAGGTGTTAATATGGTAAGAATTATTTGCCACATTCGGTATTATTGTCCTGAACAGTGTCTCATGTGTGACAGTCTGATGAAGTGTTTGCCATTTTACTTTTACTGTAACTGTGTGCAGCCTGACAAAACTAAGTATATGCAGACCTCTGCAGGGGCCATGTGGAATTACAGCTGGGGTAAAATGGTAAATGAGAATAAAGGAATCATTTATATGACATATATACAACTTCTGCAGAACAACTGTGACATACCATCATAGAAATGTACATGTTATCTCAATATTATGTAGATAAATATAAAAGGACTTGCAGTGGTAGAATGTAACGGTGGTCTGAATACTTTCCGTACCCACTGTACATTTCCATTTTTATGCTACTTCATGCTTCTACTCCAGTGAGTTTCAGAGGTGATCATTGTGCACATTATTAATTCAAAGCATTACTGACAAATAGATTACAGATCATTATCAGAGATGAATGTATTGTGTAGTTTACAAAGTACTTAAAATTTACCAGTTGAAACAAGTGATGTGTACACAGTGATACATCAATAATCATTATGTACAATGCATGCAGTATATAGTATGTATTACATTTGGTACCCTATATTAATTTTGATGCTAACAATGATGCATACACTGTGGCATTACTGATTACTTAAGTAAAAGACTTGAGTACTTCTTTTATTTGCAAAGCTTGTCTTTACATACAGTAGATCTTTTATTGAATATTTCCATAAAAAGTTGGAGAAATATTTCTATATTTAGCATTTTTAAAAGCTATTAAATCATTAGTAAATTATTTAATCACAACCTAAATATGTGTTAGGATAAATCTGATGTAGTCAGACTGTAAATTAACTTTATTTGATAGAAAGTACTCTCTAAATGTGTCTCTCCTGACTGACAGCTGGGTGGATAAAGAGGTGTGACCAGCTGGGATGCAGCTGAACCAGAGCAGCTCTGCTCTCTCCCTGCCTCTCACCATACACAGGCAGGACTCCAGCTCCTCTTATAGATGTGTGGCTGCTAGTCCTGCTGAGGAGAAGACTGTCAGTCAATATTACAGCATCCTGTGATGGGCTAAACAACACAAGTAAGGCTGCAGTCTCTCTTTGCAAAAGTTTCTGTTTCAGCGATCCTGATGCTAAATGTTTCTGACAGGAGCAAGTAACACTCAGTCCTGGTTGTTGCCGGGTTCTTCTGGCTGAGTTTGGGAGTGCTGTCAGCATAATTTTGACAAACAGGAAGAGAAGGACTATGACGCTGTCACCATCAGCTCTACACTCATGTTGGCACACACACACACACGGTGTCCTCAGCCCAGCATTGGACATTACAGAGCACACAACAACATTTAATACATAGTGCCTATAAAATGTATTCACCCCCTTGGATGTTTTCCCTTGTATTGATTTTATAAGTCAATATAAATTGGATTTTTTGACAAAAAAAACCTCTGTCAGAGTGAAAACAGGTTTCTACAAAGTAATGTCAAATAAAATAAGTGACTGTATAAATATTCACCCCCTTCAAATCAATATTTAGTAGATGCACCTTTGACTGCAATCACAGTACTGGGCCTGTGTGGACAGATCTCACTCAGGCTTGCACATCTGGACACTGCAATTTTACTCCATTCTTCTTTGCAAAAGTGCTCAAGCTCTGCCAGGTTGCAAGGTGATCAGGCTCAAGCAGCCCTTTTCAAATGCTGCCACAAATTCTCTATTGGTCTGGGCTTTAACTTGGTGACTCCAGAACACTCACCTTGTTGTCTTTAAACCATTTCTGTGTAGCTTTTGCTATATGCTTCGGCTCATCGTCTTGCTGGAAAATAAATCTTCGCCTAACCCATACCTCTCTTGCAGACTGAATAAGTTTTACCCTCTCCCTTTATAAGCCTTCCAGGGCTGGGTGCCGAGAAGCATCCGCACAGCATGATGCTGGCACCACCGTGCTTCACAGTGGGGTCGGTGTGTTTGTGGTGATGTGCAGCGTTTGTGTCTGCCAAACATAGCATCTTGCCTGGTGGCTACCATTTTGGTCTCATCAGACCAAAGAGCTTTCTTCCATTTGACCCTGGAGTCTCCCACATGCCTTTGGTGAACTCTAGTCAAGATTTAATATGCATTTTCTTCAAAAGGGCTTTCTCTTTGCTGCTCTCCCATAAGGCTTTGACTGGTGAAGAACCTGTCTCTTTATACTACAATCACTTGAGACACATTCACTGCACTCTGGTGAACCCCATTTCACCACTTGTGAGACTACTAGCACCAACTCGCTGGACCTCTGTTGAATTAGGTCAGTCATTTTAAATGGGGTGAATATTTATACAATCACTTATTTCCCATTACATTTTTGTAGAAACCTGATTTCACTTTGACATAAAGGGTTTTTTTTTGGTCAAAAAAAAAAAAGCCAAATTATATTGACCATGATAGATTTACAAAATCAAGGATAGAACATCCAAGGGGGTGAATTTTTTTTATAGGCACTGTCTTTTATAAAGCATAGCCACATTTTTACTAACAATTACAGAGTTAATGTCCTTCTCTATATTGTGTCCCATGTTAGTGAAATGCCAGAGCCGGGGAGCTCTTTGGTCCAGTCCCAACTCCAGAGCTGGACTGGTACAACAGATGGTTGCCCAGGAGGCACAGAGTAGAGCTTTACATAGAAAGGACCAAAACAGAGAACACTGGTGTGAACACTGAACCTACATTCATCAGGTGAACAGAAAACCTAAACTTTTATGCTAATGTTACTTTGTCTGGTCAGTGTGAACAGTCACTATGTACTTTTGTTAGCAGCAGCTTTTTATTACCAGACAAATAAGTAAATGGTGAGTGAGTCTCTGGTTCTAATAAAATGACATATCTGACAATAAAGTGAAGTGTCATCCACTGTCTGTGATAATCTGAATCC